TTTTTATTGTGAGTACTTCAAGTACCCAGCCTCTAAATCCAATCCTAACCACACATGTATGGGAACATGGGAACACAAAACTATGATTACATTGCCCTCCTGTGGAGAGAACTGGTGATTGCAGCCTTCCAACTTTGGGCCAAGTTTTATCGTTGAAACAAGCAGTGGAGGGTAGTAACGAGTTACATTTACTTGAGTAAGTTTTTCAAAAATACTTCCAGGAGTAATTTTAAATCACTATACTTTTTACTTTTACTTGAGTAGATTTTATGAAGAAGAAAGAGTACTCTTACTCTGCTACTTAGCTCGGTACTTTTATCAGAGATACTGGAGAAAGCTTCTCAGTACTTGAGTAGTTTTTTCACCAAGTACTTTTACTTCTTACTCAAGTAATTATTTGGACTTTTTACTTTTACTTGAGTAATGTTAATCTGAAGTAACAGTACTTTTACTTGAGTACAATTTTTGGCTACTCTGCCCATCTCTGCTCGTCTGTATCCGAGCGTCTGCTCAGCGGAATACGGCAGTAATATCCATGAATTAAAAATGATTTTTTTTTTCTTTTTTTCCCGTGAACCATGAATCAGTGTGAGCACTTATTTCTGTGTCAGTGCAGCCGCGACAGCCGACTTCAGTCCATCAGAGCCACTCCAGGCCTTTTGATCCCACATGGAGCAGTTTCATCAGGCCTTGAATATTTCATCACTACTTGTTAAAAACGGGACTGAAAGTGGCAGAGAGCGAAAAAACACTCACACAGTGTCACTGAGTCAGGAACATGTGTCAAGCGTCAACGATGCTCAACTTGTTCATATTCCTTCATTGTTAAAACATGTTCCAACACTGTTTGTAGTGCAGTGGTTATCAAATGGTGGCCCATGGGCCAAACGTGGCCCACTCAACCATCAGCTCTGGCAAAAACTGATAGTTAAATAACTATCAGTAATCCACACCATTTATGACTGTATTTGAGGCTAAATAGAGGGAAAGGGGGAGGCTCTGTAAAGGTTTGGGGCTGCATTTCAGCCACTATTATTAGGCACCTTTAAATGTAAACATAACTGATCTGATATTGGTGTATCAGCCACCTGGAAAAACAACTGCTAGCAACATTAGCTCTATATTCTATACGTCATGTGACGTCCGCAGTGTCGCGACCTCAGCTCGTGTAACATCAACAGGAAACAGACGTCCAGATACGGAGTATACTTTCAGGTTTATTTGTGAGCTGCTGTACTTTGTTCATTACATCATGTTTCTGCAGGAGTGAAAACTTGAATAACTGGTCTTTATATGTTTGAGGGGCTCAGAGTCCAGTCCGGGGTTTTTTCTGATTCCATCTTCACTTTGCCATTCATTCCATTCACTTTGGTGAAATGCCACAGTAGAACCCATGACCCTCATTATTACGTGTGTTTGCATAGAGAAGGTTTGACGAGATCTGCTGCAAGACTGGAGGTTTGTGGAGGAGAAATCACTGGAAATCTGTGTAAAGTGCAGCGACAGACGAAATAAGGCAGAGAATCGGGTCTAAAACAGGAAGTTATCTATTGCTCTGGTGAAGTGACGAGAGAGAGAGAGAGGGAGAGAGAGAGAGAGAGTGAGAGAGAGAGTCAACAGTAACTTTAAAAAAGAAGAACACGTGTCTGGGAAGGACACTAGAGGAGAGGAGAGGAGATTAGGATCTGAGGATTTTGTCAGTTTCACAGCGTAATTACCTTTTAATAATCTGCAGGCGAGAGATAAGGTGAGATAATCCTGAAATCTAAATCCTCTGTTTACAAACCTCGCTTCCAGAGAAGTTGGTTCTAAAAATGTTTCGCCAGGTTGAATCTGTTGTGAAACGATGTCCTTGAAACTTTTCAAAAAAGGTCGATGACAGTTTCTCTCCACAGTTTTTTCAAAAAGGTCGATGACAGTTTCTCTCCACAGTGTTGAACAAACTTTGGAAATTCAAAGTTGAGGAACGTTATAGTAGTAGAAGATGAAGTCGTGTAGTCGGGTAGTGAAGTAGTTTTTTTCCCCTTTAATCAGGTTTTTCACCAACAAAAGTAAAATTCAAATTTTTAAAAGAAAGCAGATTTGAATTCAGCGCCACCTGGTGTTCTTTCTTGTACTTAAAATGAATATCTGTTTGAAATTATGTGTATTACAGACAAAGAAGTTTGTTAGTTTTTTTACCTTGTGCCTAGCGCTGTACAAAGATAAATTGCTTTTTTTATTTTCATGATATTTTCTTTAAATAGATAGACGTACTTTATTGATCCCAGGCTGGGAAGAAATGTCATAGAACTTTTGGGCGTTCCGTTGTTTTTCCTTTGTCCTTTTGCCTGTGAAATAATAGAATAGTGAAGAATTGTGAGGAAGAAAAACCGACTGCCTCCTAAAACTGGGTTTGTAACTGAATCTGAACCAAAGACCTCCCTGAGTCAAAACTGATCATTTGTGAAGAAACAACAAACCAAACAAAGACGTTTTCGAGGCAGGCATCACTTTCTGACTTAAAGCTCACGTTGATTGTCGCTCTCCGGCTCCAGTCCAGCACAGTGTGATCTGCAGTGATGTCATCGTTACGTTGACTCCTGTGCACATCCCTCAGCTACTGGGTCGAGGTCTTTAACTCCTCAGTTCATTTTCTCCTTGTTCTCCTCCAGGCAGCTGTTAGTGTCTGAAACCTGACTGTCTCCAGTCGCTGCCACAGATTCTGGAGGTTTTCCCACAGTTTCACCCTGTACGACGTCCCCCTCGTCCTCACCCACAGCCGGATGATCTTTAATCCCTTCCTCAGTGTCCAAGCCCCCAGACTCCCCTTCCTCCTCTGACAAGGAGTACATCATCCTCGATGTCTCGCCTTCTCCCAATGTGGCGTCACTGGCGCTCCAGTGGCGTTTCTGGAACAAACCAAAGTCGGTGACGTCTTTGGAGACGCTCCTCCTCTTGCTGTTCTTTTCACTCCGGCTGTCGTCAAGAATCAGAGGCAGGAGTCCGTTGGGAAGACCGTTGAGGGTCTCGGGGGGTCTGGGCGAAGCTGTGGAACTGCCCTGCTTCAGGATGGAGGTGATCATTTTGAATCTGTTACTTTTCACCTGCGCCCCCTGTGGGCAGGAGGAAACCTTCAGAGATGAGTTGGAGTAGGCCAGGCTGGAGTCCACGGAGCTGCAGCTCGCCTTGGCCGCCTGCAGGCCGGGCTTCCCCGTCTTCATCATTCCCATCACCTCGTACCGAAAACTGGAGATGTCCTGTTTGAGTTCCTGGGACAAAAATAAAGGCATCACTAAAGTGACTTCTTCTGGTAAAGTAAAGATTTAAGAAATACTTCATAAACTACAAGTTGAACGAGAGATAGTAATAAAAGTTAACCAGCTAACAATTAGCTAAAATGATAAGAGTTAGCCTGGGGTGAATACTACATAAGTATTTTGAAAAATCTTGTCAATACATGTCGGGAAAACAACGACTTGTTATTAATTTGCTGTTGATTATAGTAGTCTTTTATCGCCCCCTGTCTGCCTACCTTGAAATTGTCTTCAGTCAGACCTTCTTCAGTCTTCGCGTCTCGGATCATGGCTGCCACGTATCGTTTCACCAAGTTCCTCAGCACCTCCTACAAACGTGGTTGAAAAAAAAAAAAAAAGAGCCATTCGAGATAAAATACCATTATCAGTGGTGTCAGTTCAATGCAACGCTACAGCCAATCAGAGTGGAGCACTTTGAGAACAACAAGAACCCCCTGCTGTGGAGGAGAGAGAGGAAAACTGCACACAGAGGACGGTGATGGACAAATCTATTACAGCCCACATTCGGAGGCTTCGTATCGACAGACGGAGAATGAAAGAGAAGGAGCGCTGTCGGCCACACACTCACACACACACACACACACTATATAGTTACCTGATACTGGTGGTTTATCCTCACATTCTCTGCTGCTCGTCTCTGTAAAAAACCAATTTGATTAAAGCAAATAAATATTTTCTACTCTTAAAACAGTATTTTCTAATGTAGTCACAAAGCCTTAAATATTAATTCGTACTGATTGAAATAATTGTAAAAAAAAAAAAGGAAACCAAATACGATATTTTTTATGAACAATTTTAAGGTCTCCGGTTGTTTGGACCTCGTCCTCTTGCAGATCTGCTTCTTGATCCAACACATGAGGTACCAGAATGATTTGGGGCTGGGGATGATGTTGAACGGTGCCGGCAGAGTGGCCCCTTCCTCGAAGTAGCTCATCCACAGCTTGGTCCGGGCAAATTTCCACTCAATGTCAGCGTGGTCCTAGAACCAAGGTTTAGATTTGTTGGAAAAACACGTCTGGATTTGAGCGGGCTCCAGTGTGCGTTAGCTGTCTGTTCTTACGGCGATGTGCTGGTACGAGTTGTTCATCATGGCGATCAGCATGTTGAGGAGAACCACCAGTGAAATCACGTTGTAGGTGCCGAACATGGTGGCTCCCACAAACTCTGTGAACTGGTGGTCCGGGACCACGTTGGTCACGTACAGGCTGATCAGGCCAAAGATGGACCAGAAGAGAGACTGCAGTGTCTCAAACAACCTGCAGGGGGCAACATTATCATTAGTGTTGAGACTATATTTGTCCAGCTAACAGTTTTTTTGCAGTTTAAACAGTTGACATCTTGAAATGTGGCCCAGATTGGTTTCTTTTTCTTTTCAATCCCTCGGCTACAGAGTGCCGGCAACTCACGTGGAGAAGGCGTTGTTCTGCTCTACACATCTGATGCCCTTACATTTCCCCTTCTCGTCCGAGGCCTTGGTCTCGTAGTAGAAGTAGAGCTGGTTCAGCCCGTTAGCGAAGGCCAGAAGAACCTGTAGAGAAGAAAATATTTGGGGTCTTTAGCGTGATTACGTCACGTCTGACGCCCCGCGCTCTGAATATTCCTGTAGTCGGGGGTTCACCAAACAGTAGATGAAGAGGAACTTGAGGATGTCCAGCAGCATCCTCCCCAGAGAGATCTGCAGGGGGCCCAGGTGGGAGTTGGCCGTGAAGAGGGAGATCAGACGCAGGGAGCTGAAGATGTTAGCGATGGCGAAGACGGCCTCCGCCACCAGGGTGGGGTGCCACATTTCCCACTGGTTCCTGGGTCGACTGCCACTGTACTGAAGGCAGAAGATGGAGAAGGTGAAGAGGAAACCACACCTGAAGGATCTTCTGTCAAACACGGACCGGACTCACCTTTGTGTAGGCTACAATCTTCAGGGAGATGGTGGCCAAATATAAGGAGTTCATGACAAAGTCCATGAGGTTCCACCAGTCGTGGACATAATCCTGGAAACCACCGTCCCACATTTGTTTGATTTCTGCCCAGATGAATCCTAGAAAAGAACAGAAATGATCAGATTTGTTTTAGTCGTTGGTCAGATTTTATATTTCAATCAGAACATTTTGTCCTAAAACAAATGGAACTGAGCAGGAATTCCAGGCAACGTTGACTTTCCTTTCCTTTCCTTGTTTGGTCACAAAATGCTGACACTGCATTAACAGTAGAACAATCACGTTATACTGAAATGGTCTTTAGAAAGTGTGAAATCTCTGTTTACTGACTTTAGATTTCCTTTTCTGACAGTTTATTAATATGACATTTGTTTTAAAGCGTTTGTTGCATGGATGGATGGATAGATGTTTGAACCTATGTTTTAATCTGGAACTGTTATGTTGCTGTCGTTTGAATCTCAGTGGGATTATCCCTGGTAAAATAAAGGTCCAATAAGTAGCAAATACATTAGACTGTCTATTAATATTAAGTGGAAGTGAAATCTATAAACACGATCGGCCAAACTACTAAAGTAAAACCCAGACTTTCAGTCTGTAAATACAGTCAATTTATATCGTATTGTCATTTTCTCCACCGTCACTTCACAGTTTCATTTAACTGCAGTAGTTTAGTATCAGAGCAGTGGAATAAATTCCTCGTCTCATCAGTCACAGGAAGGTCAACTGAGACACAAAGTCAATTCAATCCTTTCACAGATTAACACACATAAAAAACCTGCTAAACAAACGAAAGAACCCAGACTCCGCTCTCCTCTCCTCTCCCCCGTCATGACTCACCCAGCACCCAGGGCAGAATCATCCACTCCACCGTGGTGGGCGCCGGCCCCTGTCTGTCCTGTCTGTCCTGCTCTGTGTTGACGATGTGCTGGGAGGCCAGGAGCAGCAGGAAGAGAAACGTCAGGTACGACGCCGTGTGGCAGATGAACTTGATGAAGGGCTTACGGATGAAGAAGCCGTAGCGGCTCTTGGGGGCGATGAGGTAGCACAGAGCAAACACGGGGTAGAGGAGGCCGATGAAGATGCAGGTGACGAACTTTCCTGCCCAGTGTCGCCGCCTCCAGCCGGGGAATTCGTCGTACCAGCGAGACGCCAACAGCTGCTGACAGTTTGGCTGAGCGACGAACTTAGAAGAAAAGGAAGAGACGAAAATCATTTATCAACGCCTGAGACTCCTGCAGACGGAGCATCCTCAGCTCCAGGCTGTTCACTGGGTTACAGACATGATACGTCAGCCAAGTGCTCACATTACTGCAGCTCCGGCAGAGAGTTCAAGTTCAGAGCATCCATTTCACGCCCTATGATGCCTCCTCAAGGGTTCGTAAAGGGTTAATATACACTTTAAAAATATAATAATTACACGTCTCACGGACCAAGGACCACCGTATGTCATAAAGTGAAACATTAATCAAATAAAATCCAAAATGTATTTTATTTTCTCTATAAATCATCAGACACAAATGTCTAAAATGTTTCTAAAAAAATTCTTTGTCAGAGGAGCCACGTCCTCAGACATTCTTTCTTTATCCCACTTGTGGACATTTCTGTGGAGGGACCTTATATAACATGTATTGACCTATATGATATATATATATATATATATATATATTTATTTATTTCCTTTAACAACACTCGGACGCCCGGTGGTCTGCAGCTCATCAATTTAAATTCCTCTCAGTTGGAACGAATGAGCCACAGGTGTGGTGAGTTTCCTCTGACGACCTGGCCTCGTGCTGATTGGCTGACAGCTGCACACCTGCAGACCAGGCTGTCATCAGTCTGGTATTTAAAACCCAGTTTGTTCTCCTGCTCAGCAAAATGTCGTCTTCTATATTTAAAAGAAACAACTCTTCAATTTAGACGCCAACTAGTCACCTCCTACCTGTGATTGGCTGAGATGTCAGTGTTTCTGTGCCGTGTGTTTGTTAACTGAAGCTCAGCTTCGCGGCACTGACTCTGCAGCTAATGCTAACTGAACGCGATCGGTGCCGCGTCACATTTACTCAACCAGACGTGTTGAGAAATACGTTGACGTGTACGCGAGTCAACTCACAGTCACAGTGAATCCAGAGGGCGACTGTTCAAAAGCTCTGCAGCCGTGTTACCATGGGAACCACATACCGCCCCCCCCATCCTCACCCTCCAACTCCCCACCTAATAAGTGTTTGTGTCAGAGTCTGATGAAGACTCTTCAGTTTTGGTGTCTGGAGCAGACTGTGTGGGAGGACGGGAAAGGAACTCCTGAACCGTCCTCATCCGCCGAAGCTTTGACCTCATTAAACCGTTGAACCCAAAGTTTGAAAGAGAGAAATCAACACCGAGCGACAACACGTCAAACAACGGTCGTGTTGTACAGACGAACAGCAGCAGCAGCAGCTCAGGTGTGTGAGTGTTAATGATCCATGTGTTGACACGTTCCCGTCTAACAAGGCTTTTCAACCAACACTGTACATCACACTAATGACGGTAAACAAAATGCACTGCCTAATGTTCTACCTTAATGAGTGCGGGCCATTAAAAGGTCGCACTGATACTAACGAGGTCGGACTGAAAAGTTAATTAGTGTTTCATACTCTAAATGAATGGTTTCATTTAGCTGCAAATTAGCAACAAAAAAGGAACTTTTTTTTTTTTTTACATATTTAGGAATGACTATTCACCTTGATTAATCATGATTAGTCATGATATACTGTATTACAATGTGATTAATCACGATTAATCGAGACTAACCTACAGCTACACCAGTGGATGGACAGTCCTGTGTACTTCAAAGTCTTTAAACGATACTATTCTAATGTGTATTGCTAAATGAGGCAGACAGGGGGCGGTAAAAATGCGGGGATAGCTGTTTCATCTTCACTTTTACCAAACATGATGCACAGCATTGTTGTAACAAACATGTTAGTCTTTAGTAAACGTTGGTCTTTAATCTCAGAGGATATTTTGCCCAAATCAAATCTTTCCTTGTATATTCTATGTTAGAGCTGGATTTATTCTTGGAGATATTCCTGTCAGTGCTTTATTTCTCCTCTGGGTTTCCATTCCAAACATGTAGATATGGTTCTTGGCCAGACCCTCGGTGTGCGAGAACTGTCACACATCCCTGACCAGACCACGTTCTCTCTCTGTCCCTGTCACAGTCGCTTAGACTCAAGAATAATGAGAAGGCCTGATTCATGAAGACCCTCCAGGTTTTTAACATCAGCTTCCAAAGGGTTTTTTTTTTCTTTCTTTTTTTAAATATTTTGTCCATCTCTCGACGGCCAACAGGCCCTGAAAATATTTTAGATTATTCACAAAAGACTGTGATACTTCGCCCCCCCGCCCAAAAAAAATCGAATTAATCAAATTATTGCGCCATAATTATTGTGCAAATATTTCAGGTCATGATAAAAAAAAAAAAAAAATTAAAAAAAAAACAGACTTATTTGAAATTAAACATGTTGCCTTAATTCTATTTTTTCAGCTGCAGTAAAAATGATAACATCCCTTGTGTAGATATTCACTGATTCTCAAAAGTTTAAATTCATTTTCAGGAAAATGACATTAAACACAAGGAAAACGCTGCGATGCAGTTTTTATGCAATATCACAAGGGGGCAATGTCAAACTGCAGCCTTACAGTAGCAGGTCTCGTTCGACGCCTCGGAGAATCACAAACGGCAAAGAAATGGTTTCCTCTCTTACTTTTTTCTACGAGTTTATCCGAACGGATCGACGCAGCCTGCTGTGAGAAGCCTCGGGATGATGGGAGATCTGAAGTGCACGTGATTAAGTCTGTGCTTTGTGCGTTCCACATGTTGTTTTATCTGATTCTGACCTCCCACTGCATCAAAGCAGCGACTGCTCTGTTGGCTGAGCTCTTCAGCTGCAGAGGCCTGTGGAGATTTCTCCTGGGCCATTTTTTTAAATTGCCTTTTCTAAAGCCTGTGAGCACGGCAGCCACGGAAGAGCTGGGGAAAAAAACAAAACAATCCCCCCCAAAAAACACACATATCTGATAAATGGACAAATACATGCACATGCACCAAAACAATCCCCCCCAAAAAACATACACACACATACCCGATAAATGGACAAATACATGCACATGCACACGTGCAAATATGGAGTCCTGGATTAGTACAATTAAGGGTCACACGCAGGCTCCACATGAGTCACTTATCAATACACAGGGCTATAAAAAGAACATAAAAACACACACATACAAAAACAGCTCAGTGCGAAACCACAAAAACAAAAGCCCTGGTTGTCCTGCAGAGGGGGGAAAAAAGCCTTTTCAGTCCACTTAACCCTCGGTGTCACACAGAGGCTAAAAACCTGCTCTCTCTTTAAAGATCATCTGTCACATTTACACAGAGCATCTGTGTAACTACATCAGTTTCTGCCCTTTTACACAGCAGCCACTTCCCTTTGTATGCAGGTACTACCATCAACAGGTACTACCATCAACAGGTACTACCATCAACAGGTACTACCATCAACAGGTACTACCATCAACAGGTACTACCATCAACAGGTACTACCATCAACAGGTACTACCATCAACAGGTACTACCATCAACAGGTACTACCATCAACAGGTACTACCATCAACAGGTACTACCATCAACAGGTACTACCATCGACAGGTACTACCATCAACAGGTATTACCATCAACAGGTACTACCATTGACAGTCTCCGTTAAAGTAACAGAGCTTAACCAAACAAATTAGACCAAAATACAAACCTTTAAATGTTTTAAAACTACACCAGAGGGGGGTTTAATAACACTCTGCAGGTTGTTCTGATGACTGCATGTTTTTTTGGGAAAGTTTTTAACTGGAAAATAGGAAGATCACAAACTCAAATCTGAATCTCAAAGTTAAGAGGACTTTTGTGTAGATCTGGATTTTCTGTGGGATTAACAAAAAAATCTGACGCTTTATTTCAAGGCATCTCTAAAAAAGTTTTTCTTTTTAAATGGCAGAATGTAGCTGTCAGATTCAGCAGCTTTAGTAACGTCAAAAACAGGAAACACCATGAAAAGACTGGATCTAATTTCTTTTCTAAAATGACTTCACTGACAAATTATTTCATATCATTAAAAATAAGATCTTTAAGTGTTTAATTTCCAAAGTAACAAACCCATCCAATCACCACTGATGTGTGGGACATTTATCATTTGCAAAGGGCAGCTGCGTGGATTGCTACCCACAAGATGATGACCCTGTCCTCCATCAAAGTCCTGGAGCGATCGATGGGTGTTATGGATGCAGCAGAAGGGCAAACTGGGATACTGGCTGTATAATTGAAAGGGTCCTGGGGAGGTGAGGTGTAGCTGTGGATGTTTGATGTTCTGCAGTACAGTGTGTGTGTGTGTGTGTGTGTGTGTGTTTAGTTTTGTGATTAGTCTGGAGGGTCTGCCATAACTCAACGTGGTGATCTGTCCACCTGTCGTTGTCAACCTGACCCTAATGGATGAAGGAGGAAAGTGCAGCGTGATGCATGTATGCGCATATATACACATACCTATATATATAAGTGCATACATATAATTATGTATTTATATATATTTACACATGTATACATATGTATAAATATATTCATATATACAATAAACCCAATAAACCGAAACATCTGACAATCAAAGCTCATTTGTTCAAATCATCACAGCCTACAGATTTTACCCAAAAAAAAACAAAAAAAAAACAGAGATAGTCGGGGGGAAGAAAAAGATAAATGGTCTGAAATCCCAATGTGAATGACTCAAATGCCTCATTAGTTACAATTATCTTTCCGCAGGTGTAATCTGAATGCAAAAACTCCTACCTCGTTTGAACACAGCGCACTTCATCATCCACTGAGGGATTAAATGGTACCGGTGCCAGTTTCCCCTCTGAGCCCGATTGAAAAGTAAAATGCAACTTGATATCAGTTTATTTCCTCTAATTGTTCACAAGTCAAACCCACTGGCAAAAGCTTTATCACACAGCAGAAGGAAAAGGCAAAGCAAAAAAAAAAGAAAAAAAAAGGTGGCGTGAAACACCCTTAAAACACACACACACAAAAATATATACAAATATATATTCACATATATACACATATATGTGTGTAGAAATATATGTATATATGTATTATATATATATATAATATATGTATATGTATATATACTATATATGTCTATATATTTTTTCATATATGTACCTTTACTTCAAATGTACCTTTGCTTCACTGTAAGGTCTTTTAGAAGACTTAGAATTAGAAGAAAATCCAGTGCAGACTATGACAGTGTGCCACACTATTAAGTTGCTCTTATTCTAAATGTCAAACGGGTATAAATTATGCACGACAGAGCAACAAAGAGATTTCTGTCTGAATGTTTTGCCTGTAAGTTGTTTAAATCCACCTGATTGGTTCAGAACAAGGGACGGCAACCACTCTGTTGTTCACCCCCCCCGTCACCTCCCCCCCACCCCCTGACAGGGCCCCACATGTTCATAACGCCACTGAAGGGTGAAATTAAGCAACAGCAGATTAAATTAGTTTGGCAACAGTGAGAGTGTTAAAGCTTCCCCAGGCTCCTATTGGCTGAGGCCAAATCTAACAAGCTCAACCAAAACAAAGATCAGCACCGGAGGATTCAGTTAGTACCAGGAAGCAAGCACAGAACCAGATATCTTGTGTGTTTCTAAACCAGGGTCCTACCTCCTTCTGGTGGTACTTAATGGCCAGTTTGAGTCTGGCCAGGTCACTGTTGCCCTCCTCGTCCAACGGGTTGGTATCGTCTCTGTAGTTGAGGATCATCTCCAGTTCTCTGGAGCTCCGTGTCTGGTCCAGAAGGTCCTTGGCGAACTGTTTGCACTGCTGCGAGAGCTCCTCGTACTCTGACTTGAACTCGTTCTCCACCTGCGACACACAGTCATCGAGTCAACAGGAAGTCTCTCAGATCATACAGTTACCAGAACTAGGATTCTCTTTAAAAAAACAAACATGTTTTTAGGTACCGTAACCTCCTGGTTCTGGTTCTCTAAAGTCCTGGAATTATTAACTGAATATAAGTATGAGTTGGTCACAAATTCTGAAACAAATCATATTGTTTCTTGAGGTGGAGAAAAGGTGAAGATGGAGGCAGGTGTCAGGGGTGAATGTTTATAAGACAGTAGTGAGATCTGCTATGATGTTTGGTTAGACAGTGTCTCTGTGTTTGTCACGTGTGACCTATACCAGTGTTTAACAAACTTTTCTTCTCGGGACCCAGATCTCAAGTCTCAAACCTTCGCGACCCAAGTCAATAGACCTTATTCGTAAACCTCTGGGAAACATGATGCGAGACAACCCAAAAAAAAAAACTCTCGCAACCCACCTGAGGGTCGAGACCCAGTCTTTGGGATCTATACAACCCTATAAGGACGTTATAACCCTATAACGTCCCTCTGGCTCCTATTTTCCTCAGCCTTAATGGAAAACTGAAATCCCAGATTAAGCTGTTAATGTACCTAAAGATCAAATCATAAACGACTGTGATTCAATAAAAGTCTTTTTTCGTTTGCTGTGGGTTTATGACCCGTTTTTATCTCTGCTACTGTAATGAAGAGCAGCAGGAGACGATCCAGGTTCTGACTACGTCCTGTCATACTCGCTGCACGGTTATGTCCATAAGTCACATCTTATTAGCTGACAAACCATCAAAGGGCACACGTACAGCTGAAGTCCTGCCTCTCTAGTGCCACGGCCTCCTGCCTTCGCTGGAGTTTTATTCCCTTCCACTCCTCACCTTGCTGAGCTCCTGCAGCTCCCAGCTGAGTCTGAACGCCGTGAGAAACGGATCCTCGCTGGAGAGAGCGATCAGGGAGGGGCTGGACAGAGCTCTGTAGATGTTGAGGCGAGAGCGGGAGTGTCGCAAGCTGTCCACGTCTGAACTGGACACGCACTCCACGCAGTTACAGCGGACCTGGAACATCAGACCGAGCAGCAACGTGAGCGAAATGAAGAATTCAAGATCACTTCTTTTCACCACAACCACCTGCACACTGGACCGTCGTGGCGTTTTCTTGCGAAGGCAAGACATAATAAAAACACTGTCATCTTATCCTCTCTCTCAAAGAGAGAACGTTTTACGATGTGTAAAACAGCGCCCCTCTAAATGTTACATTGGAAACATGGTATTGCACTCTGTTGTCTGTGAGGAGGCGTGGTTTTCTTACTGCAGTTCAGGCTGTTTATTTTTAGCTGAACAAAAATGATACAAAAAAGTATTACTAGTTCGGAATCATGTCTATCAGATTGTATGCCTGTGTTAGAACGTTCTAGAAACTTTCCTGTACACAGTTGACTGAACAACTCAGTGGATCATTCCACCGGCTGCACGCCGACCAAACTGTGTTTATTCCCTGGACGACTGTTGACATTTGGGGGGTTGATTTGTGGTTTCACAGCTATTTCCAAAACTGCAAAAACTCATCACACTGGTTCGGGCCACAGACCTCATGTGGCTGCGGCATAGACACTCCTTTCTGCACCAGCAGCTTGATGATTTCATAGTTGTTGGTGTGAGCAGCCAGGATGATGGGAGTGATGTCAGGGGTGAAGTCAGAGAACTGCTTGTCCAATAGGATCGGAGGAACCTGTGAGAGGAACGGAGCAGAGAGAGGCTTTAATTAACAGCACCCTGTTAGACAACTCCAGTTCTAAGCAGAGAGAGGCTTTAATTAACAGCAGAGCGCAGCACCCTGTTAGACAACTCCAGTTCTTAGGTTTTATTTCCGTTCATTAGCCTGCCTTTGATACATCAAAGCAGTAAAATAAGTAGGCAACAAAAATGTGAATTTTTACAAAAATAAAAGAGTAACCAATTTAACAAACCACAAAAAAAAAGATCAGCAAAACAACGTAATGTCACTGTTTTCTTTAAATGATGATCGTGTCCGCCATTTTCGAGGTTGACTTCAGGTCCCTGTTTGGGTCATGATAAATCAATTAATATTACTGCCCTAAGAATTGATCATCACAGGCATGTTGTACGGTACGACAGAACACTGAAGTGTCAACATTCATCTGCAGTAGTAGTACTACAGTACTTAGAAGTCCATACTCTGGACTACTGCCCTCATTAAATGGTAGAAAAGTCTCTTTCGCTCTCTGTTAAATTATGAAGATGTTCCCCAGGATTTTGCACCAAGTCTTTTTTAGACCCACTTCTCGTCTGATAATGACGGTTTTTAACGGGTGTTTAAACCCTTTAAAAACCACAGAGTAAAGAAATTCTCAGGAAAGGTTGACCTTTTGACCCCAGTGTCTGTGTACAGTTTTACCCAAAAACATGTTGTTGTTTGAGGCCTGTGAACACAACAGATCCTCGACTCCTTCTCCTCTTCACTCAGGTTTAAATGCTCGCAGCCCAAACCACAGAAGAAAAACAAAATCTTTTTTCCCTCCAAGAGCAGCTTTAAAGGCTTGACAGTGGAGTTAAATGGATGAAGAGCGACAAAAAGAGACACTTTTGGAGTACGAGGGGTGGAAAAAAAAAAAAAAACCAAACACCTAAAGCTGGTGTGAAAGAACTGCAGCTGCAGAAACATCACAGCACTGTTTGTTTTTTTTTCAAGAATCAATATTTCACACAATTTCAGAGGCAGTGATTATGCTCAGAAGGAAACCAGTTCAACTTGGCTTTTCCTTTATCGCCTCCTCCAGCTGAGACCCTTTTACTCATCCAGTGTCATTCAGAGGCAGAGCATGGCAGCAGGCAGCCTGTAGTAATGGCCTGACACCTCTTTTAATTGAAAGCATTATTATCAGATTCAGTGCCGCGGCAGCGAGAGGTACGAGGCTGATGAGGAGAGAGCGGCGGTGTGGACAAAGACGAGAGCCACGGGCTTTGGTACCAGTGACAAAGCTGTAAAACCTGTGGACACACACACACACACAGACACACACACTGGATAAAAACACACCGACCGTACAGAGACGGAGGAAAACTTCACAGCCGTCTTGTCTTGGAGGACGAGGACAGACATCTGTCCAAGCGAATGCTGCAAAACTTCACGGGAGAATAAAGATGTCAGCCAAATCCAATTTATCCTCGCCCACACACTTCTGAGGTCTAATCAGAAAACACGGCGGTGGGTGGATTAGAGGTGTGAAAGTGAAGGAACACTGCGTAACTGCACGAGCGAGGAAGTCAGGAAATCAGGCGCTGAAGCTTGACTGATCGTCGAGAAGCGGGGCATTTCTGCAAACCTCATAAAGACGGAGAGCTTTCCATGAGAATGTAGTTAGAATTCACTCCTGTAGCAGGCGTCAGGAGGAAGACTCTCAGTCAAGATTCAAATAATTTAGAAATCCCAGTGAACCTTCAATAATATTTTAAATCCTACAGCAGTTAGGAAGTAAGGAGATGGAGCTTTTCAAAAGAGAAGTTTGACTTTTTTATACCTGTAGTAGGGCTGAGAAATGAGTAAAGTTTAAATTGAAATAATTGTCGAGAACTCTGGGTCTATCGTAATTAATCATGATTAATCGTGATTAGTTCGAGGCAACAAAATTCCTACAAATGACAGAAATTAAAAAAAAATCTTTTTTGTACATTGTTGCAGCATAAAGACAAACAACATCAGGTGAATTTTTAAAAAATTTTTTGTACATTGTTGACAATAACAAGACAAACAACAGCAGGTGAATGTGTGTGTATTAACACAATAATAAGTGAGTGAACAGTGGAAACAGAGACGTCATCGTTTCTCTGACTGTTGTTGTTAAAGACATGGTGATTAAATCTTGTCAAATCTGTTGGCGACGCCTGAGAGACCGGTCTGAACATGATTTATTATTTTTTTTATCAGACGTCTTTGAAATGATGACATCTTTTCTGGTCCTTGTCGATTTTAAACAATCTTCGTCATCGATAGTGAATTTCTGTTTTTTTTTTGTGCCTTTAGCTCTGTCTCGGGCGGCAGCCAATCACAGCCCTGGATTTGACCTTTGACTTTAGGGTCTGGTTGTTCTTCATGTGACAATAATCCTCCAGATTGAGGTTTAAAGTCTGACTGTGGTCTACCATCCACTGCAGGGATTTCTATTGTATTGACCTGTATTAACCTTTGTGTGGAGCTGTGATTCTACAAGAGGGAAAAGCAGCTAATTGGATCATTTATAAGTCACAGATTAGACGAGAAGTGAGATGTGTCGTGTCGTCGCCTGCTCTAAAAACGTCGGCTTGTCGTCTATTTAAAATCCAATAAAAAAAAAAAATAACTTGTCGATGACGCTGTGACACAGTCGTCTGCAAGAAGCCAAAAATATGAAGAATATGTTATCTGGGTGTCTGATTTATCCTCCTCACCCTCTCACCTCCTCATCCATTTCATTGGTGTGGTTCAAACACAGGAGTCATTTATTTTTGTGGACGTGATTTACTGCTGCTGAAAAGACAACAGAGTAGTGTGTGATAGTTGTCATTTCTTGCCGAGGAGGTTGATCTAATAAGCCATACGCTCTGCTCTACATGTGGGTGGAGGAGAGACATCAAATAATGGACATCAGACAGTCTGGGCGTAGAGCAGGAGCAGTGCAGGCTGGGAAAGGTGAAGCTATGATACCAGCAGAAAAACAACAGAGGGAGAGTGTGAGCTGTGGAGTCGCTGTTTGCTGCTCATTAGCGTGTTGATTAAAAATGTAACGTTAGCATCTGCTGCGTGCGTCTGTTTGTTTCGTTTCCACGCTGCATCACTAATGTCTGCACGGTGACGAGGCGGTGAGCGATTCTGTTTTTACTGACACTGCAAAAAAAAAAAAAACAGACATCAGCATCTTTGAGAGTGCTCGTGTTAATATGGTTGGAGAGGGATTCCCTTACACTGAGGACAGCAGGGCTGCAGACTGCACTGACTCAACCTCACCAGTGGGTGGAATAATCAAACAAATATAAAATAATAATTTTTTAAAAATTGTACATTTCACAATTATCCCTAAAATCATATAAATTGTAAAATATTTATATTTTGTAAAACTTTACAAAAATATTTTCTCACAAATGTACCTTATACTGAGAGTTTCAAAAGCAATTTATAATGTCTTTTTAGGTTTGTCATACCGAGATATAATCTTTTTTTTTTCACAACTGAATTTTATGAAATTTTTTTTTTTTACAATTGGGACGTGTTTTTGTTCAATTTTACAAAAATTAATGACTAATGCAACAATCTTTTTTTCACAAACGTGCCTTTCTTTTCACAAAAATAATTATTTTTTTTGATATGTCCTAACAATATTTGACACAAAAATGCCTTTCTTTTTACAAAACAAAGTTTTTGATTTATCCTAATTTTTTGATTTGTCCTAACAATATTTGATATTGTGACTGGAGCAAATTATGGACAGCAAACTTTCACTGGACCAACCCCAACATCATTATAGGCCACATATGTAGACAACAAAGGTCTGCCTGCTGTAAGGCCAGGGCATCAAACACTGTTCCACTGCATGACCCTGACACAGATCACTGGAGTTTTCTCCCTGTTTCATAGATGTTGTTGCCTTTTAAACAAAGGAATAAAAAATAAAAACCAAAAACTCCAACAGATGGTTCTGTAGCACATAGTGTGGACGTTGTCGTCCTTTGACCGTTTTTGTCACTTCCTGTCATATTCCTGTCCACTGAAGCTTAAAACTGAACACGGAAAATGACAGGATTGGAGAGGAAACAAACAGAAGGAAATTGATAGAGAGAGGGAGAGAGAGAGTTAGAGAGAGAGAGACAAAAGCACCTGCAGGCAGTTTTCTAATTAAGGAAATGTGTGAGCTCCATGTTTGTGCCAGATGTGTATCTGTCTATACACAGCAGATAATATATGAAGCTGTTTGAACGAGCCAGCGCTCCGGTGTGGAAAACAAATATTCCACAACACTTCCCAGATTCCTACAAACCCATCACTCAGACAGACTGCAGGACACACACACACACACACTCTGGCACACAACGTTGCAGCACAAAATGAAGCTCATTAAAATAAAATCATAGAAGTCAGTGGTAACAGGCAGGATGCTCCCCCCGACAGCTTCTTAATACAATCAATGAGCTCCTCCTGGAGGAGGGTTTGATAAGATGAGTGTGATCTATTGTCACAATTTGTCCATGTGATGGGATGGAGCCACTATCTTAGAAAGACATTAAGGTAAGAGAGTGGATGCGGCAGCCGAGGGATCAGAACCTGCAGCTTTTCCCCCCCCGTCTGTGTTCTATTTCTATCTCCTAATGTACCCCCCCGCCCCGGGGGGGCCCACTTATATTTCTTTCATTTTTGTTGGTCATTTCACTTCATTTCATCTCAGCTCAAATGCACAGAGGAGGCGCCGTAACAATTCCCCTGCCGTACGTTCATTGATCGATGAACACATTCG